ATATTTTTGGGACCTGTGATACAGAAATAAATTCTATTTTAAAATATATTAAAATAGGAAACCAATATTAGAAATGGCAATAATTTCACAATATTACGTTTTTTTTTTCTGTATTTTTGATCAAATAAATACAGCATTGATGAGCATAAGAGACTCTTACTGATGCCAATTAAAAATCTTACTGATGCCAAACTTTTGAATGGCAGTGTATATATATATATATATATATATATAGGTGGAAAAATCTTACCAGGGCCGAGAAACTGGCAGCCTCTGGCTCTGACGGCGGCCCACAGGTTGGAGGAGAGCTGCTGGGGGTTCTGGTGCTGGAGGATGAGCTCAGTTACAGTACGTTCACCCAGAGAGCGGGCCGCCCGCATGGCCCGGATGCGGCCCTCCTCCTCCACCAGCTGGCAGTGAACCAGAGTCACCAGCTTCCTCTGCATGGGTCTGCTGAGAACGCTCTGAGCGGCGCCATTCAGCCCTGCACCTGCACGGATCAACACCAATAAAACACAAACGTTAACTGAGCCTTTTCATGGATTGCTGATTATCATGAAGGATGACGAATCACTTAAAAACAATAGAGCATATGCTAAAGACAATAAACAAGGTCGAACTGTTAGGAATCTACACAATTAAAAAAAAATTAATAAATAAAAATGAAAGAGTAAATAAAATAAAATATTATAAAACAAAAAATATATATTTGAAAATGTTAAAAATTATATATATATTTTTTTAAATTATGTTTTTTTTGTTCCTTTTACTTTTAACTGCAGTCCAATGATATCTTGATGCATTTGATGACGACTGAATGTTTATGATTAATCACTGAAAAACCATAAAAAATATGCTAAGGACGATAAACGTGGTGAATTGTTTGGTATTCAAACAATTGAAAGAAAAAAAAAAAGAATAAATAATAAAAGTAAAAACAAAAATGAAATATTACAACACAAAACTATATGCAACCACAATACAATTATTAGATCCATTTTATGATGTATGAACATTTATGATGAATGTCAAAAAGCATATATTAAGGATGATAAACATGCTGAATTGTTAGGTTCAAACAATTAAAACATTTTATAAAAAAAAATAGTCCACAAAGCATATACTAAGAATGATAAACATGGTAAATTGTTAAGTGTCTAAACAATAATAAAATAAATTACCTCAAAAAAACAAATAAGAAATAAATCATTAAAAATATTGAAAAAGTTTTTGTTCCTTTTTGCAGCGCAATCGCAATCCAATTGTGATATTTTGATGCATTTGTTGACGTTTAAGATAAATCACTTAAAAAAAGCATATGCTAACTTATTGTGAATAAATGAATAAAAAGGCTCATGTAAAATGGCAGGGACCTCTGGTGTTGCTCAGGGGTTTGAGATAGAGGGCCAGGTCCTCCACACATGTGCGAGACTCCTCATAGTGCTTGACTTCCTCTGCAGCTGTCAGTAAGGTGACGGGGGGAGCTTTGGGTACCTGCAGGAGAAAACACAACATTTGTCTGTTACCATACCAAAGATAGTTCCCATTTACAGGGCTTTGATGGCATTCTTCACATAACAGGTCATCATGTGATGGGGCTGTCAGCATTCCTCTACGTGTAGAACATGCTCACACCCACAGACTCTCATAACAACATGTGATTTATCATCAAAGGGCCCCGTCATTTGGGCTGTCATGACTGATTCACACTCATATACATAACAACTGCATTTTTGAGTTTCTTTAACATAGTAGAATGATTTTCAATTATATATGATTATTACATCAGCTGCACTACTGTTTACATGTGTAGAGTTGGATTGTTTTTTTTTTAAGAAATTAACACTTTTATTTAGCAAGAATGCATTAAATTGATCAAACGTGACAGAAAAGACATTTATGTTAAAGATTTGTTTCAAATGCATCACAAAAATATTAAGCATTGATAATAATAAGAACTGTTTCTTGAGCAGCAAATCAGCATATTAGAATGATTTCTGAAGGATCATGTGACACTGAAGATTGGAGTAATGATGCTGAAAATTCAGCTTTGCATAGCAGGAATAAACTACATTTTGAAAATATATTGAAATAGAAAACAGCTATTTTAAATTGTAATAATATCTCACAATAATACAGTATTACAAAATAATAATACTGTATTTTTCAATCAAAGTAATGCAGCCTTGGTGAGCATAAGAGATTTCTTACAAATTTTTTTTTTTTAAATCCCAAACTTTTGAACAGTATGATTTCTAATCAAATTCTAGGACAGTTTCATGATGATGATTCAAAACGCCATGTTTATATATATAATTAAAAAAACTATGCTACTTTTTATTGAGTTGACATTTTTAGAGAAATTAAAACGGAGACAAGTTAAAACTTTTGTTGAAAATGGTAAAATGTTTGTTTTTAAGGCTCAGTACACAAATACTGCACTGGGCAGAACGACATAATACAATTCTAAATATTAAAATATGAAGAAATTATGTAAAATATTTCTCATTTTGGTGCACTTTGCCAAGTCTACTTTACATTCACACTGTATTTTTTGGAACCCATCCCAACTGAATAATACATTAGTAAGAAATATTTGGCTATTATTTTCCAATAGTAATACATTTTTGTACGAATTTCGGTTTTTGTTTTCATTTGAAAGATATTCACTTATGCATGAATAAAGAAATGTGATTTTCTGCATGTAGATGACGGTTTTTAAACAAGCAGCTCATCTTTACCTCATTTGCTTTATATGAAAACCTGCATGGACCCTGCAAATTTTTCTGCAATTTCGCAACCGTGGCATTTTTGTATTTGTTTAATTCCCTTATTTAAACGCAGTACCCAATGAAGCGCACTATGACTGCGGTCATCTGAAATAATCCTAACTAGACGATTATGTAATAGTTGCGACAGTCATCATACCTATCCCCGCATGTGCAGAATGAAGAAGTATTTACAGACAAAGCTGGGAATGACTGGCAGAAGTTAATTCAACTTCCTGGTTCTCTATTGGCTGTGTGAGTGAGGAAGCAGTGTGTTTTGCAGCCTCCTGTCATGCAATCACACGCTTCTGTATGTCACATCAGGCCTGAAATCCAACCAGACCGGAACGTTCGCAAGCTGATCTTCAGAAACCTGACGCCCTGAGCTCCACCTCTCCATGCTGTACTTGACATGTTCTGCTCGTCCTCTTGATTCAGAAACAAGTGGATGCAGTAAACACGGTAATAAACACGCTCCACCTAAAGTACAACTGCAGTGTTGTCTTCACAATCGCTGCGGTCTGGGCTTTTTGGCTGTTTGCCTCACGTTCCGATTGCTATCAAGGTCATTTGAAAAGGAAAAAAGGGCATTGTTTGAGTGACAAGGAACCACTGTAGTTTTACTTCCTCATCCTCACTTAGATTGAGGCTAGGGTGGGGGCCACAACTTCATCCGTATAAGGGAAACAGAGTCAATAAAAATAAACATGTTTGGTACAGAATTAACCAATGTGCACTGGGTCATCATGTAGCGGTGCTTTAAGGTGTGCTCACGTTTACTGTTGGCAAAATCCAGCATTTTCAAAAGTTTAGGAGTTTTGCGTGAGATTCTGCGCAGATTTTGCTCATGTTGGTCACACGACTTCGCCGCACTGATCAAAAGAAGGCTGCTTGGTTTGAAAGTTACATGTGTGCGAGCTGTGCTTCATTCATTCAACTTTATCATTCAGCCCCAGGTCAATTATGTAGCACTTGTAAATTGTGTCTCGGCCCATTACGAAAAATATTCCAAATGCATTTTTTTTTACCATACCTAATTTGAGACTTTTTATGCAACACAAGCAGATCCATTTTCGTTATTGGTAACGAAAACTATTTAACAACTAAAATAGCATTAAAGGGATAGTTGAAAATGAAAACACTGTCATTATTTACTCACCCTCATGCCATTCCAAACCCCTTCGTTGTGCGCAAAGAAAACAAAAAATAACGACTTTATTCAACAATTACTTCTCTTCCGTGTCAGTCTTTGTTCATGTGCATTCCTCTGCTTGCAAACAAGGCATGGCGCATCTGGCTTCTCCGTCAGAACCGCATGGTGCTGTCATGAACGCGCGGCGAAGACTGACACAGAAGAGAAGAAATTGTTGAATAAAGTCGCTATTTTTGTTTTCTTTGCACACAAAAAGTATTCTCGTAGTTGTTCATAATATGTTCATCACATTACAAGATTTATGTATGACGAGTGATTCCTTGCATTATTACAGGGAAACGTCTTGTGACTACATTACTGAGCTGCTGCTATGGAGCAATATATTTTAACGGGCATAATTATGTGAGAAAATAACTAAAGGGAATATAGGGCCCTATGAAATATGTTTGATTTTTGCCCAAATTCCATTTTATTTTTTACCAAATTCCGTTTTTTCCATTTAAATTTTTCTGTATTACATTTTTTTTTCCATTAAAACTTTTCTGGACCCCTTTTTAATGGTTAAATTAATTTTTATTAATCACAAAGCATGTCTAATTAGCCTAATTAAAATCATGAAACCTACACAATTTCACATCAATTTATTAAACGTTTAACAAAAACTAAGAAATGTTTTGTTTTTTTCTCACCATATGTTTTATTGTTACCAAATTCTGTGTTTTAGCATGTATAATCATTTGAATGCACAAAAAAAACTTAATTTATTCAAATTTATTGTTAAAATAGCCTTATGAAATGTTTTTTCCTCAAAAACTCAAATTCCTCAGAAATTTTTCTGGCAATCAAATGAAGGCATAAAACATTAATGTCATTTATCTTGTAATTATTGAAAATTGAACAAGCTTTATTTTTGGCAAACAAAGGGGATTTACTATAAACATTAAAATTATGAAGAAATGTTGTGTGATTATTCCTTAAAAAATAAAGTTTTAATAATTTTTGTAGTAGTGGTAGTAGTATGTACATTCTACTGAACAATAGTAATATATTTCTGGCACAATGTCTTCAAGTTAAACCAAACTTTTATTTTGACGGGCTGCCGTGAACACCTTTACATTTCTGTGTTCTGTGATATGACATTTGTTTTACACAAATCAAAGGGTAAAATGCTCATGGAGATGTTGTTCATGTATTTATGTACTCATTTCGTCACTACGATTCCGTCCGCGTTTTCCATATCGCGGAAATCATAGGGCCCTAGGAATATCTGTTTGCAAAATGAAGCCAGCTAACATGATTTATATTTTTTGTTTTAGGATTGTAACGGTGTGAGATTTTCACGATATGATAATAGTCTCAGAAAATATCACGGTCTCGCGGTTATCACGGTATATATTAAACAATAACTCTTATCAGTAACAATGACTCTTAAAAGAACAAGAACAAGTTATTTGAGTGAACAAATCCTTTATTACAACAAACTTGAAACCATTTTAATTAAAGTATTGACGTCTCCCTTCTGAAAAAATAAATAAATGTAAAAAACAATAAAAAAATAAAGCTGTACACCTTATGTATATCTTTATCACACTTTAACATTTTAATTAATGTTTTAAAATGTTATCAAATGAAAATTTACAACTTTTATTTTTGGCAAAGTTAAAACATGGACAAACATGATATTCCTTGAAAACAATGTTTAAATAAATCATTTTATTATAAAGGATATTATTATTGTTGTTGTTATTATAACATTGAAGTACATTGTACAATGCTAATATATTTGTGTCTTAATTTCAAATTAAATCGAACTTTTATTTTGACGGGTTGTAGCGGACCTTTGAGTTTCAGAGTGTATTTGACAATGGTTTTTCTCAAATAAAACTAGGAAATGTTTATTTACGTTTTCTCTCAGAGCAGCTCTGCTAATGTTCATGTTTATGTATCTTAGACGCTGAAAACTTCAGTACGCAGTAGATAAAACGGCGCCACTCAGAGACATGCAGAAACAAGCTGATTCTTTATATAGCAGTCTCTTTGCGCTTTAATATTCACAGACACATATCATTACTACTTTTGACTTATCCATCCATCCGATTGCGCGTTTTACGTGACATCCTCATTATACTGTAAATTTCATGTTCCCAACTGCACCGGGATTCCCTCTGCTTCACGGAAATCATACGGCATAACTTATAACTTATTAATGCGACACACCATCATCTGCACGGAGGGATGGTGTCTGCGAATATGAGCGAAGATGTTGGATGTATTGCCTGCTTTTGCAGCCACTTTATGTTCACATTTTTTGCAAATTGGATCCGTCCTCAAGGACAACCCCGTGTTCGTTTTTTTTTTAATATCCCAAGTATTCCCATACTGCAGATATTAACTTTTTTTTCGGCAGGGATGGAGATTAGATATGATCTCTGTCTCCGTCATTTTCTCCGCTGCAGGTGTGTTCATGCAGCCAAGTGAATGCAGAGTGAAGAAGCCGAGCGGAAATAAGCAATTGCATATGCGCGGGTGAGATTTTTTTTTTATTAAATTTTTTTTTTAAACCGTCGATATGCAAATGTTTACGGTATGATAACCGTGCACGTTCAAACTGTGATAAACCGTCATATCATTACAACCCTAGTTTAAAATTACAAATGCTTTAAAAATATAGGTATCGGTATCGGCAAGTACCAAAAATAAAATATCGGTATCAGACTCGTTCTAGAAAAAAGTGATATCGGTGAATCCCTACCGCTAATACTTCAAGCAAAATCGAAAAAAATAGCTGATGTGATATCATTTTGAACACAAAATCAAGCCAAAATAAAGTTCATTTGGAGTTTGTTTTAGGGAACTTTCGAGAACTTTTGTTGAATGCGAATTCGTTGATTGATAAACATGTGCTTGATTAGTGACTAATCTTCATATATCTAGCTACTCTATTGACAATAGACCTTATTTGCCGCAAAATTTTGCAAATGTGACCACACATTTAGACTCACCTGTCCGCTGACGAGCTGCAACAGCGCTGTGTTGACGGGCAGCTGCTCGATGTCCGTGCTGATGGTGGTCTGGTCAAACGGGCAGGCCTTGCGGTGCAGTTTGTTCAGGCACATTTTGCACACAGTGTGGCCGCAGCCCAGGCTGATGGGCTTGCGGTGGCTCTCCTCGAAGGTTTGTGTGCAGATGGGACACAACAGAAACTCAGTCCATTGCGGGGCTTGCACGGGCATTGTAGCGAAGCGCGGTCTGTGATGCACCGGTCCCCAAGATCTTTTCTTATTGCTGCATTTGTGTCTCTGTGCGTTTTGCGTAAAACGATATGACAGTAAGTCCTAAAGGTTCCACTGGAACTGATAAAGCTCTTCCAAAGATCACGGTTCTTAAATATTTCCTGACATTGTGGGCGTTCAGCACATAGTGTGAAAAACATAACCTGAAAGACAAAAAACAAAACTAAAATGATCACTCATGTCAAGATTTTTACACTAAATACCAACATGCCAAATTATCACATTCAGCCTCAGATCAATTAAGTAACACTTGTTAATTGTGTCTTGGCCTATGACTTTATTCAAATGAAACATTAAAAAATGCATTTCTAATACTGAAGCTAAATTGAACAACAATGTTGCTCTCAGCTATTTTTTAACTGTTTTAATAATTATGTTCACAATGTTGTTAACAGCATAAATAAAATACTCTCTCATGACTTAGACTTAGGTTTTTTCATACAGAATAACCAAAAAGGTTTAAAATTTGATAAACTGCCTTTCACTAAACATGAAAATGCTGCTATTTAAACTCTCATTAACACATTGGCAGCACAAAAATAAAAAAAACTAAAAACTAAACTAAAACGAGAATCAATGAAAGAGATGAGAGTAAAAACAAAAAATAACATAAAAAGACCAAACTACAAATAAAACTAGACTAAATTAGGCTAGCCTAATTAAAACTAGCCTAAAATTAAAACTAATAAAAACAAAATTTATTATTTAGAATTTGCTCAATCTTTTTATACAAATTGATGTAATGAAACAAAATGTCATAATGACAATTAATTTTATTAATAATACATACAAACATATAAACCGTTTACAAAAATTTGTTGCGCTCATTTCACAAATAAGACCCAATAACTGTTATACACAACTTCTGTAATTAAAATTTTTTTTTATTATTAAATCCCAAGAAACTTTGATATTCAAAACTTGAAAACATGTTTACAAAAAATAAAAGTTTGAAAACTTTCATTTTCCTAAAAATAATAATAATCAAGATGCAATACATTTTTTTTACTTGGCTACATTTACAGTTTGATATTCTTTAAACGAATCTTTTGTTGAAAAATAGGAACCACATGAACAAACACCAGTGCATAAAAACACATGACTCATTCTTTTTTTCCATTTTCGTCATCTTAGACATTCTTATCACTGACCCGAGTACAGCAGGCTTATTTTGGTTATCAAAGATACCAAGCAAGCAGGATCTTTTGGCTAACATTAAACCTTTTGGCTTCAGCCTAACAACACCTCTCCAGCTCAACAACATGAGCTCTATAAAACATTCAGTCCTGACTGGGAAGTCCAGAACAGCAGCAATAACCTGACTCATCATTTATTACAGCTTAGTCTGCGTACCATACCTTACAGCTGCCCGAAATGGCCATTATATAACCAAAACAACACCTCCACAACACAAAACCGAGGGGATTTCAAATGACTAATCACGACTAAAGTGCAATTCCTTCAACCGCTCCAGCGGGAGACATAACAAGGAAGCATTTAAACTCAAATCAGGTTACGAGTCCTGAGATCTGACTCATCTGACAAACAAAATCAACGTGTTTTCAGGAGCAGGAAGTAAGGAATTCTGACCTATAGGGAACAGAAACATGAGCCATAGCAAAGAGCACAGTTTCAATCACATGCACAGGAGTTGCACACTCATGCTTCGGTGACAAAAGGAAGCCGAAAATAAAATCATAGGATACTACTCACGAAATTGAACACGTTTCCTTTCTGAATGCGTCTCAAAATGAACACTGAAAACTATTCTAATTTCCACCCAGTCGGCTCATCAAGAATGCTAGTTTAGTTTTCGCAAGGATTTCTGCGCAAGTCCTGTGCAAGTGTGCGAATTGCACCCTAAAAAAATGTGTTAAAAATAAAATCATTAATAGAAATACCTATTTTAACAATAAAAAATTATACATAATATAAATATATATTTATATATATATAAACACGCATTGTCTTACCTAACGAGTGTATGTATATGTAACATTCAAATACATGCTGTTATCTTCAGCAGCCACCCATGCAACTAAAGGTACTTCCTCTTGTGGCAGCCATCAAAAGCACCGTTTTACACAGGCACACCCACGTTTTCTTTCTATGTAATACATTGTTTCATTAGTACCAGGATTTCTCAGTAACTATAATTAAGTTTGGTGGGTGTTCGACAAAAGGAGAAGCTCTGTGGTGTGGGATAACTATATATAGATCTCTATCTATATAAATATTTCAGATTAAAAAAATATTAAAAGTAATTGTTATTTTTTTTAACCGTTAAAACGTAATATTAATAAAATATTTTAAAATATAGATTTTAAATAAAACATTTTAAGTACGTTTAAAAAAATAATAATTTGAAATTAATTATATATACATATATGCACCAGGAAGTATAATGTATCAATGTGAATTTCCTAGTATCTCCATACAAAGAATTAAAGCAGTGTAATCATTACTTGGAGACCTGTTTGTCAACTGCATGCGACTAATTTAAAGCCAATTGTATTTAATGTGTATCATAAAGGTCATTTCCATGCCTGACATTCACTTTTGTGATTCAAAAAGAGGAATATTTTCAGATGCCAGTGCAGTCATGGAAAAAATTACCTCTGTTCAAAGCATGCTGAGACTTATCTCTTGCTCTTTGCCTATTGGAAACCCCCTAAAGCAGGTTAACAGAGATTTTAAGTATCACTTAATTATCTAGCGTTTAATTACACAACTCAACGTGATCTAACAATATATAAACCACATACTATTTATTCTGTGCCAAGAAAAGACAATAAGCACGTGTGCATCATCACATTTTTGTCGGATTTTGCAGCCAAATGAAGCCAATCAAGTGCATGATTATCAAATGAATCCCCAGGAAACTCTTTGTCAAATATTTCTTGAGAAAATCTGATTTCTGTGTAAAATGTTTGCATAACATCAAGCCCTTCAGAACAGGAAAGACGGAGACAAAGCCCTTTGACTTGAGCTGGATGTAGCTGTAATATAATAAAACACTCGCTTTAAACTATAAATATTTCGATATTTTACTCATTTACGTTACCTAGCCAAATGCCACACGATGATGAAGAAACATTACTTGTTTAAAAGCTCAGATTGTCAAACTGTTATGCTAGTCAGCTAGCAGGTTAACTAGTAACCATTTCTAGATAAAAACAAATAAGAACAAAAATAAATACATTACTAATCTTTACCTACCACCACTGGATGTTTTCTACATATAAACATTTTAACGCCCAATAAAATTTAAGATAATATAAATGTGCATTTGGACCGTTTCAACCGATTTGAAATTTGAATATTAAACAGCTAGCCGGTGTGCTAACAAAACAAAGCTTGTAGCCTTCGGCTAAACGGCATTTGTTAAGTTAAAACGCTTGTATCGCGAATCCCTTTATGTTTGTAGTAATATTTCGCTAACTGAAACACTTTAAAGCCACACAAACCTAACACTAACCAATAATAAAATATATTCTTACTGAATAATGTGCTCGTGAGTGTTAGCATCTATGCTACGCCGGTTGATGCATCTTAGGTAACGCTTACAACGCTCATTTGTAATAGTTTTAGGCGTTTCATTCGAGTTACACACGTTTTTAACAATACTTAGTGCAGAAATGTCAATTTAAGCGTTTTAAATGTGATTCAATCTATTCTGCTGTATTTCTAAGCTACAGACTCGACGCATTGTTTTAGTCTTTATATACGGCGTGTACACAAATATATATAAAAGAAACGAAACCTAAAAGGACAATACATAATATAAGCAGTACAACATGTACTCACAATATTTGGTTCAGCTCAATCTCCACAGAAGAAGGGCGAATTTCGCCTGCTGCTGTAATAAAATTTCTTTGGACTGACTGCCTGAGTCTCAGAGCTCAAGTGAGAGAAGTCCAGGATTGCGCAACCGGAGATCATCCGAGACCATCAAAATCATATCCTCCATGGAGTCAAGAGTCTCAAAACGTAACTAGACAGCATGGGTGATGTCCAAAATGCTGTTTAAACACAAAAAAAACAGCGTAGTATGTTTTAAAACTCAGCCCATCAGTCAAAAGCCTCTTTATGTTTGGTAAAGGCTGATGAGAAACATGTTGTATCTGAGCTTTTGTCTACATTCACAACAACAAAACTTTTTAATGAAGTTCTTGTTCATGTTAAAGTCATGTCCATGAATTTAACATGTTCCAATACGGTTGCTAAGGCGCTCCAAGTGGTGTTTAGTGCATTGGTGTGCAGTTGCTAAGGTGTTCTGGGTGGTACTTACTAGCTCAAAAGATCTTTCCTCAGTTCTGGCCCTTAGATACTATTATTATGTATTATGCATGTAAGATTATGTAAATCGTATGCAGTTTTGTCACCAGGTGTGTTTGGTAAGTCAAACATTTACCTACTAATTAGTTGACACAGACGTATCCTGTGATATCCTTATGAGAAACACAAGGATGTGATGGTCAGTGATAAAACTCGTGAAATGAAGTTATATAAAAGAATATGTAATTTAATTATGCGACAAATACATGTACATGAAGTCATTTAAAAACATACAAAAGGATGAAAACTCAAGCAGTAGTTCTCCCTCTGAAACGGTTTGTGCCAATTTTAGGTAAAAATCAAGTAATGCCATAAGACAAAATTGTGAAAGAGTTAAAACTAGTAACACGAAAACAATACTGCCTTAAGTGAGTCACTTCATACATGAACGTGTGTGTACATGAACATGACACATAAGAAGTCATTAGGTAAACATAAAAACTTTTAAGCTTCCACATGAAAGGAAATAACATTAAAGTGACAAGACGAGAAGTTACAGACAACAAAACATACTTAAAAGCTCTCGCTGAAAAGAGTCTGTACACTTTTAAAAATAAAATGCTATACTACGTAAACGATGGAAGACAAATCTTTGAGAATTGGTTTAAAACAAAACATTTCTTGGTGAGTTTTTGTGTCAAAGGGATCTGTTTGTAAAATCCCCATGATGCATTTTAGAAGAGCTTGGGGAGCTGGCGTAACCTACTCAGATCCAGGAAATTTCCCACTGACCCCTCAGGCTCCGTCACTTCCTGCGTCCTCTGGTTTTCAGTTAGCAAGGACCTACGTTGAGTCAGACCTTTCTTTGCATTATTCTCCTTCTCTGGGTTTGTCCCGCCACACAAAAGCAGCTGCATTTTGGGCCGCAAGTTTTGTATTAACTGCTCTTGAGAGTCAATGGGAGATATGTGGAGATTGGCAACTGGCTTGTTTGTAATGTTTTTGAGAATGGCAGCGCTTTGGTCTTCCCGGTGTTGCCTAACGCTCACATTTTTGGACGTTTCGTTCTGTACCGAACACCCGAGAGCTGAGTCTACCAGGATGGCATCCTCTTGCTCTTCCTCACTGCTGTTTTCTCCTTCAATCAGTCCGTATTTCTTCATGTACTTACAGGTAGCTAGAGACATATTGCTGGGGGACAGTATACTGAGTCCAATGCTGCTCTTTTCTGCAGCGGGTCTTCTCAGGAGAATCGCGCTGGGGTCTGGACGTGGGCCGGAGGATTGACTGCCCAACGAGAGTCTTGACAGTTGCGAATCGGTTAAGTACTTAAGTGCAATGGCATTGGCCTCAAGACTAAGGTCTACACTGCCGCTTGGTCCCCAAATGCTGGTCCCCACTGGTTCAGAAAGAGCCAGTCTTGGAATCACTGCTTCTGGGTTAATGCAGGCAAGGGTACTGAAGAGAAAAATTGTTAGCCACAAGACTTTTAATCATAGCTTTGATAAAACGATTAGTCATTGATTAATGTCTTTACCTGGCACTTTCCACAGTTGCACATGTCATCTTTCCCTGCTCAGAGTCTAAGTCTATGTTCACCCCAAACTGTTGGAGCTGTCTTAATGTTGCACTTAAGACACGGTCCTGATCGGGTGGACTGAATCTGTGCTTCGTTTTTTGAGTTTGGGGTATGGACGATGTCTGTGATTTCTTTGATTGATGGCCTACAGGGGACAGACATTGTCTGTTTGGGACACTCTGTTGGTCTTGCTCTACCTTTTCATCCACAATTGCAGAGTCTTGCAGACGACTTTGCACCTGACCCTGCGGTAGGAATTGAGTCCAAGTTGGTTTGAACATTCATAATGCGTCAATTTCTAATTAAATATGTGAAAATTATAAAAAAATTGGGCTATACCAGTAGCTCTTTGTAAAATCTTGGGTTGTCCATTTCTCGGTTTTCAGGCAGATCGTTACTCTGTGACTGAGAGTTATAATACATGCTAGCACTCTCTCCCAACACTGGACTCTCAAACAAATGGGCGCCGAAACCAGACGACATGCTGCCAAATACAAATAAAAGAAATTCATCAAACATTGCCTGGAAAACAAACAAAAGCATAACACTCTTTGAAATCAGATATGAAGGTTAACTTCAAGGCTCTAAAAATGGTTTAGGGTTCATTATAGGCTCATTAGGGGTCAACACAGGGTTCATTACTTGGGTTTTGGAGATGTCGGATGTAGATGAGGTCCTGTATTCTGATCTTCGGTGTAACGACATGCATTTTCGGATCCGAGTCTTGAAGTGACTATACTATCATTTTGACATCCAGACTTTGGCTCCATCTCAGTTTGCCAATCCAGACTTGGGGCCTCATGTGTGGAGGACTCCTGAGGGCTGTTCCAAAACAAGCTAGCCCCTAAAAAACAAACAACGAAAATGTCATGACATTAAAAGGAATGTGAAACAAATTCAAGAAAATTAAATCTTCCATCAAAGCACCTGTTCCTACAGCAACACTGACACTTGTTCGTTTCGGTGGAGATGTGGGCATTTGA